ATAGTTATATAGTCCTATAGATTATAAAAACTTTACAATATTACTAGCTGAGAAATTAGTGCCTAATAAATTACTTAAACTCTTAGGTATATTAAATGTAACACGAAAATTGGCAAATCTATGGCATTCAATTAATAAATGGTTAATGGTTAATTGTACATTACATGTTTCGCAAATAGGTGGATCACTTTTGGTAAATAAGTATGAGTAAGTCTGGTGTGTCCAATTCGTAATCTCGTTATCACCAATTGTTCTCTTCTGTTCTTTGTTGAGGGTTTCCAAGCTGCAACTTCATTTTTAATTTGCTTCAGTGATGTTTGAGAAGATTGCCATTCGTTTTTCCACTTGCACAAAACTCGATTCTTTATAAAGGCTTTTATATCACTCGCGGTATTTCGATACTCGGCTTTTTCTATATTGGCACATTTAGCAATTTCACTCGCGCAATGGTCCGCACTTTCGTTGCCAGCAATGCCAATGTGGGATGGAATCCATATAAATCTGATACTCCTAGAATTTTCTTGTGCTTATCTATAAGTTTCTATAAGTTCTAGTTTTATCAGTTTCTCAAGGGGACCTTTAGGATAGATCTGTTTAAGGGTTTGAAGGGCGCTTAGTGAGTCACTTAAGGTAACAGAGTTATGAATGTTATTAGAATTTATATGTATGATAGCTTTAAACACTGCATAGAGTTCAGCGGAGAAAATCGAAAAGAAGGTTGGGAGACGAAATTGATATGTATCGTTTGGAGTAACGAATGCAGCATCTACTCGTTTATCACACTTAGATGCATCTGTAAATATTTTTTAGCAATGTTCGTAATGCTGACGGAGAATTGGATCTAGATTGGGAAGTCGATGGAAAAATCCATCTATATTCCATTGCAGTAGTTTAGTGAATTATATTATATAAGAAAAAATATGAATTTACGGGTTATCCTGAGATGACTCGCCCTCGGATTCAGAGATGTCGTTACGAAAGTGTTGGAGGATTTTCTTTCTTAAGAAGGTGATATGACGTTTGGTTGATCTATCTTTTAATTGTGGATGAACTTTAGTTAGCATACGAACTAATCCCACAAGGTCAGAAGTAAACTCTTGAATTATGTTAGAAGGATCCTGCACGCCGCTAACATTGCTTAGAAGTAGATTTAATTGGCCAAAATTGAGGACAAATGTGGGTAGATGATTTTGGATAAAATCTTTGGCAGGCTCAAGGTCATATGATTTTGTTGATTTTATGCATGTATGCTCCTCATTGCTTTTAACTTTCTTGACTCTAGGTTTGGATGTAGGTACAGCAAATGATTTTTCTGTTGTTTCAGAAGTTGTTTCTGGAGACGTCAGAACATCATTGATACTACGTTTCGGCTGGAGATCGATATTAATTACTTTGCAGCTTTCCATGGTGTTAACTTCTTCTTGACCAGTAGCAATGTTAGGATTGCTCAGATTGTTTGCTAATTTTCCTTGGACGGACATTTGTTCGTTTGATATGGATGTCGCTGCAGGTTGAGGCATGATGTCAGGGGAGGAAGAAGTAGTAGATTGACTGTTATTAGAATCAATTAAGTTTGTTGTTGATTCTAGTTTATCAGGACAGTTGGTGGCGATATGACCAGACTTTTTGCAGTTATAACTGGCCATAGTTTTTTTAGATAAGAATATTGGATATGTTGTATTATCGAAGTCTAAGGTGAATGAGTCGGGTAAGGAGATATTATGGGGACTGACGTATATTTGTCTTCTGAAACTTAAAATATGATTATATTCGGAAAGAGTGGAACTGATTTTTAGAAAAGTGACAGGGGAGACCATATTAAGTCCAATACTTTGTAGATATTCAACTAACAGACTGTGTGGTATTGTTGGACATACGTTTGAAAAAACAATCACCCACTGCTTCTTGAAAGGTTTTCTCAGAGTATATGTTAAACAGCAGTGGTGATAGTATACATCCCTGACGGTTGCCACGTTTGATTTTGATATCGTCGGATTCTCCTGCCTCTGTCCGGATAGATGATGTTTGATTCCAGTACAGATTGCTGACAATTCTTAAATCACAGGTGTTTATTCCAATATTGGTTAATATCCCATCAGCTTGTCGTGCTTTACTGTATCGAACGCTTTATGGTAGTCAATGAAGCACGCATAAATGTCGCAGTTCACGTCTCTACATCGTTGAAATAGCACTTGTATACTAAATAGAGCCTCTCTCGTACCCACTGCATTCCGAAAACCAAACTGTGTACGGCTGACACAGTTTGGTTTTTTTGTGCTTTTTTGTGCTTTTTTTGATAATTTTCTGATGATATGAAATATGACTCATTAAGCTGATGGTTCGAAAATCACTGCAGGATACGGATTTTGTTTTCTTTGGTAAAGCAATAAAGGTCGACTTCAGCCATGTTCTTGGTATTACTCCGCTTAAATATATGTCATTAATTACTTTTGTTAGGTGTTGAATACCGTCGGTGTTAAATAGTTTTATGAGCTCAACATATGCATTGTCAGGTCCAGGAGCTTTTAGTTGTAATATGGCTTTTTGCACTTCATCTGATGTGATTGGTAAGTGGTCATCACATATGTAGGATGGAGGATGTTCGGATCTAGTACCATCAAAGAGTTCTTGTATGTATTTTGTCCATATGCGGATTTCTTGATTTTTGTCTGTGATGATATTCCCCTGTTGGTCTCGCAGTTTGTTAGGTGTGTTGGATTTCTGAAGACCAGCTGCTTGTTTCACCTTTTTATGCATGTTAACGTAACATGTTTTTGTTCTAACAGCTCTATCTCTTCACACTGTGATTTCAACCAATTTTCTTTGGCCTTTCGTAATTTCTTATTTGTATCTGAATCTTGTACATTATTTTGTTGTTCTTTGATTTTCTTCTTTCTTCCATAAGTTGCAGTATATTGTCATTCATCCAACTTTTTTTCTTATCTTTTTTTTCTATCATATGTTCTTCTCTGATCTTGTTAAAGGTTTCACATATATTTTGGAGTGATTCTTCGGCATTATGTTTGCTCCATATTACTTAGCTATTCTAAAAGAATCTGTGCAACTGTTTCTTTTTTTTTTCGTTGTTATCTTTTAATCTTCTCATATCGCACTTTTTGTTACTATTCTTTCTGGTAATCAACAAAATACACATATATATCACAACTCACGTCTCTACATCTTTGAAAAAGAATTTGTATTGCAAAAAGTGCCTCTCGAGTACCCAATGTATCCCTGAAGCCGAATAGTGTGTTTGTTATGTGTTCTTCACACTTTTTATATATTCTTTTATGTATTATTTTAAAAAAGTTTTCAGAAGATTGCTCATAAGGCTTATTATTCGATAATCTTCACATTTGTTGGCATTGGGTTTTTTGGGGTTTGTTATAAAAGTTGATTTTAGTCACTGTTGGGGTATCTTTCCACTTTGGTATATATTGTTGAAGATCAAGATAAGTTATTTTACTTCGTCTTTATCCATAACTTTTAAAAATTCTGAGTAGAACTCGTCTGGTTCTGCGCCTTTTTCCTCCTTAATGCTGTTTATAGCAGCTTCTACTTCCGCTTCGAGAATAGGTGGAATGCTTTTCGATAATCAATAAAACATACATATACATCTACATTCATGTCTCTGCCGATTAACACATTTAAAGCAATTATAGCCTCTTGTGTTCCCAATCCGTTTTGAACTCCGAATTTAGTGTCACTTATCTGGAACTCGCACTTCTTGTAAATTCATGTATGGATAATTCTGAGAAAAATTTTAAGGACATGAGACATCAAGTTTAATATTCGATAATTCTCGCATTTTGAGGATTTAGATTTTTTTGGTAATGCTTCGAATGTTGATTTTAGCCACTCTGTTGGTATTTTACCTGTATCATATATCTTCTTGAATAGTGCTGTTATTAAGTCTAGGCTTTTACTTTAGTTTTAGTATTTCAACATTGATATTGTCTGAACCGGTGGCTTTTCCATCTTTTTGAGATTTTACTGCGTAAATCACTTATTTTTTGGTTATTTCTGGACATTTTTCATTTATTCGATTATATGTGGATGGTGAAGAACAAGGTCTATCGTCGTTAAAAAGAATTTGTATGTATTCTTTCCATCTCTCTAGTTTGTCTTCTGTATAATATTAAAGGTGTGGTATTTTTTCTGAAGTTGTTCGATTTCTAGGCATTTTGTTGACATCCAGTTTTCTTTCGCCTCCCTGCACTTTTTTCTAATGGTTTTATTGATTCGCTTTTATTCTATTGGGCTTGTTTTATGTCTTTGTCTTACGTCCATGAAGTCCATGATCTCTTGCTTTATCCAGTCTTGTTTTTTGTTGTGTTTTATGAACCCGATGTCTTCTTCTTGTATCTTTGTTATTTTTGTTTTTAGAGCAATCCATATTGCTTTAGTGTATGTCTGTACCAAGTATTCGATCGTTTTTATTGACTTTGAGAAATCTTTTTAATCTAAAATTTATTATAACTGGATTGTGATCGCCATGCATATTAGCTCCAGGGTAAGATTTCGTAGATTGTATGACTTCTTAAAGGTGTTATTAAGCAAAATGAAGTCAAATTGATTTCTAACAATTCTGTCTTTTATGTCTGCAGGTGATTTCTATGTGTATAGTCTTCAAAGATATTGTTTGAACAAGGTGTTGGCTATTAATAGATTATTTTCTACGCAGAATTGTACAAGTTTACCTCCTCTATCTCCTCCTTCAGCCCTACGATCCCTTACAAACAAAAAATGGGACGTCGACTCTTCTACATATCTAGAAAGCCCAATCGCTTAAAACTAATTAAAAAAAAAACAGACTTAAAAACATACATGTGATTCGAGCACACCAGTCCAATCCAAACCTATAGTGGTAGTCTGAAGACTCTTCCAGTAGCGGAGAGTGCTTAGTTATCTAACTTCTAGTTGAAGTCTAAATTGTACCAACATGGCACAAAATAAATAACTAAGTTACTAAACAGTTGGGATTGAGTTAAATGAATAGAATAATACAATAATCTTTTATTAATACAATATCACAAACATTTATTTAAAAAATAGACAAAACAAACAATTGGTTCCTAGAAGTTAATGTACGGTTTTTGAGCATATTTTTCATACAGATCTACCCACTTAGAATAGGTACTGCTTTTTGGATGACCCTGGACAATCGATAAAGAATTATTGAGGTTCAGATATACGAAGTTGTTTGGTTCTACTTTGGGCCAGATTATATTTTGCAAGGTTTCGATCTTTTCTGGAGTTGGATTCCTGAAAAAAAAAATTAAGCTTAAAGATTACAGACTAAAAACATCTAAACATAGTAAGGGTATGTTTCGACAAAAACATCTAAAAGAAGATAATTGTACAATGATGAAGTTCATATGTTTTCTATATTAAATATTACTAGAGAAATCGTCCATTATATCCAATTAGTCTGGGCAATAAGCCTACCAATTTTTTGCAGTTGGATAGATCTCAATGGAACGTCTTGCATTTGATTCGTTAAAACGTTAGAAAATTTTGTGAACTAAAGTGATGATGTCGAACTGAAAGGAATTACAGAATTCTGTATCAACTTATGAATAAACTTTAGTGAATGAATACAGTATGTTGTGGAGTTAATTTGTACAGTTCAAAAAGAGTTTGCTGAATGCTATACAGGGTGAGTCATGAGGAACTTTACATACTTCTACTATATGTAGAGTCCCTCAGGGAGCATATCATGTGGCCACTAAAAAATGTCAACTCCTCTTCTTTATTAATTAACAGGGTGATTTGTGCAATTGACCATTTATTTCATTTTACTGTAGTGTTTATACGGCTTATTTGATTTTTTAAATTTTATCATGATACAGTACATTACTATTAAGCATTCGACTGGTATTAGCTAAACTAAAAAATTCCAGGACTGGCTTTAGAAAAATTAATTTAGAGATTCGTATTAAATATTACACCCTGTATATATATTTTTTAAAATAATATAAGTGATTTTCAAACTACATAAATAGCCAATGAAAACGACATGTATGCGACAATGTTGTCGCACTTTTATTAAATTTTTAGTGAACGATCAAATCTTACCAAAAATAGAACAACCATAATGAAGTATCAAATTATAAGGTAATTAATTTAAACAAATGTTATCAATTTCAAACATTTTAATTGAAATGATAGACTGAGTCACTGCACAACAAAAAAAATAACTACTAACAATAACGAAGAATAATTTAAAAAAAAAACTAAAAATATGTACCTACATAGTTATGATAAACCCATAAATTAGAACTGGAAAAGATACAATAATGATAACAAAATAAAAATAATTTAAAATAGATTTTCGAAATGGAACCCTGCAGCCTGTACATATTTTTGTTGCCGAATTGTTAATTCACGTATTGAATTATGGATACTCTGGGGATCGTTTCTAATAGTATTACAACAATGTATAATTCTATCAATTAATTGTTGTCGGTTATTAATATTCACTGCGTAAACTAGTTGCTTCAATCGTCCCCAAATATGGTAATCAACGGGATTGAAATCAGGGGATCTTGAAGGCTACGAAATAGGACCTGCACGTCCTATCCACCTGTTGCCATAAACATTATTGAGATGTTGTCTCACTGTCAGTAAAAAGTGAGGGGGTGCCCCATAATGCTGAAAATACATCCCTCGGATAGCAACGTTCGCGTTGGCAAGTAAATTTGGCAAAATATTTTGTAGAAAGTTTAAATACACCTACCCTGTTAAAGGACCATTAAAAAAGTGAGGACCTACTAATTGGTTATTTATGACACCAATCCACACGTTAACCGAAAACCTTAACTGAGAACGACGTTCTCGAATAGCATGGGGATTTTCTCCTGCCCACACATGTGAATTTCGTGAATTATTTATCCCGTCTCTGGTAAATTGGGTTTCATCTGTAAATAGTGTCCTGTATAGCGTTGGTCGATTATTGTTAATCCATCTACAAAATTCCAACCTATCGATCTAATTTCCAGCATGTAGTCGCTTAACCATTTGAATGTGATATGGATATAGATTATTTTTTTGTAAGACTCTACTTACTTTTGATTGAGTAACATTGAGTTCTCGACTTACTTGTCTAGTGCTCATTGTAGGGTTCATAGTAACGGCGTCCATAATGTCATCTTCCTGCGCTTCATCTACATGTCGCTCTGTTGTTTTACTAGGAAAAGTGCCATTTTCTCGCAAATAATTAAAAACTGACCCAAATGTTATATGACTGGGAGTTCGACGATTAGGAAATCTCCTGCGATATTCTCTACTAGGAGCCCTACCATTCCCATTACAGAATCCATAAACAAATATTATGTCTGCATATTCTGTGGTCGAAAACTGATGTGGCATTTTGAACGAAAGTAACAAAAGCTCTACCAAAACTAACACAATGTACTTAACGTAGATATGACAGAAAAAATATGTATTCTTGTACACATAAATAACAATTGATAATGACAATGGGTATAAAATATCAAGAAACGTCAAACAGTCAACGCCAACCTTCATTTTAAACTTTTTTAGATGTATTTTTATTTAGTACAGTTGATGCAATGTATTATTATTTGACATAAAATTTTAATCATTTAAAATCAACAAAAACTAACACATACAAGAGGTTTGACTTTTTAATCAATTTAATTTATTACTTATCGAAAATAATGCCCCAATACGATCTATGAGTAAAAATTTAAAATTGAAAAACAATTGATTCTATTTATATCTGATTTTGGTAAGATTTGATTGTTCACTAAAAATTAAATAAATATGCGACAACATTGTCGCATATGTCGTTTTCATTGGCTATTTATGTAGTTTGAAAATCACTTATTGCATTTTAAAAATTATATATATATACAGGGTGTAATATTTAATACGAATCCCTAAATTAATTTTTCCAAAGCCAGTCCTGGAATTCTTTAGTTTAGCTAATACCAGTCGAATGCTTGAAAGTAGTGTACTGTATCATGTAAAAAAAATCAAATGATCCGTATAAACACTACAGTAAAATAAAATAAATAGTCAATTACACAAATCACCCTGTTAATTAATAAAGAAGAGGAGTTGACATTTTCTAGTGGCCACATGATATGCTCCCTGAGGGACTCTACATATGGTAGAAGTATGTAAAGTTCCTCATGACTCACCCTGTATATTGCCTATATAGAACCCATCTAAACTATGGTTGACTTTTTTTAAATTATCTACTACAGAGCCTTAAACCATGTTCAGTAAGAAAATCTCAGATGATTCTAAGTTAATACTGCTGATTTTCCGCAGTACTTCAACTGTGTCAGTCCAATATATTATTAATTTTAGGAAAAAGCCTATTCTTCATAAAAAGTTCTGCAAAATTTCTCCAAAATGGAATCATATTTTTTTTTAATTCTTTTAGTCGTAAATAATGTAAAATTGTTATTATTAGTATTAAAAATCATGTTCACTTTCACATATTTTTGGCCTTGTGCGTATGTGATTTTAAAACATAATTCATGTATCCCGAAATAGTATTGAATTAATAGCATTTTACATAAGTATATTTCATTGTGAAATACTTTTAACTGTCTAGTAAGCATGTGTCTACTAGTCAATCTGAAGAATTCAATTAAGTTATAAAATTAATAAATTGCAGTGGAGAACAATACCTGATAAAGCATCAGATGAAGATCGAGAAGTTTCAGGATCGTTTCAGGATGGCTTGTTAAGTTTTTTTATGAATTTGATTAAATAAAGTTACATTTACCTGTATTTCGCAAAATTGGTAAGTAGTAGTCTCCATCTTTCGCTAGTTAAAACGTCTTCTGGAGGGTAAGTGTCCAACACGGACCAGTTTCCATAGGTCCAGAAGTAGTTGTTGTCTTCAGAATGTTGTACTTTTTCTGCGCCTAAAAAAAGTATTAAATTAAAATAAGCTAGTACTATTTATGAAAATGGGCTATGGCGTCGAAGGTACAACTTTGATCTCTATCAGTTAAACACCGATCCAGATATTGTGAAATTCGTTAAAATGCAGAAACTTAGATAGGCTGGACACATTGCTAGAATGTAATATCACGAATACATAAAGAGATTAACATTTTTAAAACCAGAGGTCAGAAGAAGTAGAGGTTGTCCATGAAGCAGATCCTTTGATGATGTGGAAGAAGACCTAGAGATTCTAAGGGTCAGAAGACGGATAGAAGCCAGGAATCGACAGGGAGTGGGGACTTCTTTGTGCGCAAGTCAAGATCTACAACGGATTGTCGTGCCACTTATGATGATGAATATAAGCTCTTTAATTTTTTTGGCTTTGTTTATCAATTATTTCTGATTTGTAGTCAAATTTTCATAATCTTTTCTTGGCAGTAGGGGAAGTGTGCCTATGTTGGACCCCTGCCTATGACGGACCCCCGGCTGTAATTTTAAATATCGCGCGGTTACATACACATCGCCGGTTGCCGCTTGCGCAAGAAGTTTGTAGTTTAGTATTTGCAAAGTTTCAGACACGTGGCTGTTATAACAGTAAATTTGTGAAATAAAATTAAAATTTGGCGTTGCTGATCTAATTAATTTTTTGGTAAGTAGCATTTTACTGGTAACATACGTTAAGCTAAGTGTTGCTTTTGTTTTGTATAAAATGACTACACTTTCTTTGTCAAATACTATACTTTGTTTTAGTTTAAAATGGTCAAAACAAAAGTAACAGAATTAAATTTGCTGCCTTGTCTATTTGCCTATGATGGACCCCTGTGTCGTTACCTATGACGGACTAGGGGTCCATCATAGGAAAAAGAATATAAAATTGGACACACCTTCAGTTTTTGTTACTTAATGATTAACATAATATGTTTTACAGGGATGGCTCTACAAAAAAGGCAACAGTGGAACGAGAGTAATATGCAACAAGCTTTAAAAATCATACAAGAAAAAACTATGGGGTTTAAGCTGGCAGCAAAAACATTTGACGATCCAAAAACGACTTTGAAAAGGCGCTTTATTAAGCATCAAGGAAGTATCAAAGGTGATTTGGGAGGACGAAGACCAATATTCTCCACTACTATTGAACAGGAAGTTGCTGACCATATTATTACTATGGAAACACGTTTTTTTTGGCCTGACTAGTAAAGATTTGCGAAAACTTGTATACGAAGTAGCTGAAAGAAACAATATTAGCTACAATTTTAATAAAGAAACCAGGATGGCAGCTGGAAATGGGTCAGAGGCTTTTTAAAGCGAAATCCTCGAATATCATTACGCACTCCAGAAAATACTTCGTTGGCAAGGGCTCAAGCTTTTAATAAACCAAATATATGTGCCTATTTTACTGCATTAGCAAATATATTAGACGAGTTTCACTTTGCACTGGAAAACATTTATAATATGGACGAGTCCGGTTTGACAACTGTGCAAAAGAAATCGCAGAAAATTTATGCTAGTAAAGGTGCGCAAACAAGTTGGTGCTTTAAGTAGTGCAGAGCGCGGTCTGTTACGGTCGTATGTGCAATGAATGAATTGGAACATATGTTCCTCCTGCTTTGATTTTTTCTTGACAGAGAAAGAAAGATAAACTTATGATCGATGCACCTACTGGAAGTATAGCCTTTGCTCAAGAAAAAGGATGGATGACTTCCGATATTTTCTATTTGTGGCTGCAACATTTTTTAAGGTATACAAAGGCTTCTAAAACCAACAAAGTTTTGTTGTTCTCTTGTTGTATTAATATGTTTTGTTTTCCTACTCACTGTTCTCATCACGTTCAACCCTTGGACGTAGGATTTTTTAGACCACTTCAAATTTACTACGGCCAAGAAATTCAGTTATGGCTGCGACAGAATCCAGGTAAAACGGTGACCCAATTTAAAGTAGCCAGTCTCTTTAATAGAGCGTATTTAAAAAGTGCTTTCACCATCAAATGCAATCAATGCATTTAAAAAGACAGGAATACAACCATTCAATCCAGATATCTTCGAGGATTAACAATTTTTGCCGTCTATAACAACAGATAGAGAAAATTCTGAACAAAACCCACTGTCAGAATGTTCTGACCAGAAGTCACCACCGGAATATTGGAGCCAAAATGTTTCTTCGATTGAAAGTTTATCAAAAAGCCCACTGATTAGAAATCAACATCATCGTCAGTTCTAAACATCTCGGTAGAAGATATTTGTCCTCCTCCTTTAGCTGGAGTATCTCAAGTAATGCAGAAAAGGGGTAGAAAACGGGGTTAAAACAGGATATTTAAATTCAACGCCAGAAATTGAAGATATAAAACAAAACATTGCAGACAAAGAAGCAAAAAAAAGGAAACAAGACGCCAAAAAAGTGAAAAGGCAAGTGGTTCTGAAGACGATTGTGAATGCTCTTTTGTAGAAGGCGACTCGGACGATGCAGCTTGCGTCTACTGTAACGAACTATTTTCGCATTCACGATCCAATGAAAAATGGATTCGTTGTCAAGTGTGTAAGAATTGGTGTCACACTGAATGTGCAGATGTAAATCCTCGACATAAACAATTTTTGTGTGAATTGTGCGCGTAATTTTTTTATTTTTAAAAATACTATGTGTAATATTTTTTATCGTTTGTAATGTCTTTTGATCTAATAAAATAATTTGGTATTTAATTATTTTTTATAATAAAATAAAAATAAAATTATTTTGTAATTTAATTTTTTATTTTATAAACGGTCCATCATGAGCGCATATATGCCCATGATGGACCCTTAACAGGATTTTAGTAAATTATGAATACATTTTTAACATCACTTTTTCTGAAAAATTTGAAACATTTGCCATATTGTACAAATAACGAGACGTTATGTGGTCATATTTAAAGTCTGCTAAGTAAATAATTAAAATTATTATGAAGCTATTTTCTTAAGGGGACCATCATAGGCACATTTCCCCTAGCTACAGTGCGCCTTGTTTCCCTATTTGCTTCCTTGTACATATCCTTATCTACCTCTCTTTTAGACTTCTTATACCTCTTTCTAGCCACTTTCTTTTTCTTAACCTTATGTTCCACTTCATTGTTTTATTACCCAGTTTCTTTGTCCTTAGAGGGGTTTTTAACAGACGGTTTTCCTAGCACTTCCTGTCCCACTCGTACCACCACTTAGCAGTTGGCTTCGCACCAGTTATTTACCGTACCATGACAACAAAACACTGGCAACATACACTAACAACACTCTTCCACACTGACAACAAAAATATGTATTGCTAGAAATTATTTAAAGCTAGTTAAATGTTGTGCTTCAAATCGGAAAATGATACTTAGGTTCAACCTATACATAAATCGCTGAATTGATTGATAATTCGTAAAAAATGTGCCAGTGGACTATGAAAAAAAAAGTAGTTTGTATTGAGATAGGAAACTTAAAAACTAACGTATAAATAATTTTAAGAATCACTCAAGCAAGATCTCGCTCTTTCTAACTGTTTTGAACTCATATACCTATCTTATAATGTTCTATTTATAATATCTAATACCAAATTTTAATAACTGGCACTAGTGACTAGTTACTATCTAGTAACTGACTGCAGTTACATAACTAGTAATTACAACATATTTCGTACACAAAATAGTTTTAATGTTTAACATCTCAAAGTTGTATTTATTCCTTAGATTTAGTACATACCTTCCACGTAGGTCTTCTTCCCGCCTAATTTACCGTCATAAGAAAATTGGTAGAAGTAGACATCGCTGAATTTTGATTGCAGTTCACCATGACGAATGATGGGTCTGTTAAAAGAGGTGTCACTGAAATACTAAACAAAATATGATTGATTTAATATTTTAGTGAATAATTCTAAAAAACTGTTTACTATACATAAAATAAAATAAATTATTAATAATTAACAACGTCAATTTGCATCGGAAATTGCACTGATCGCATTTTATTCCATATGACAGTATAGTATTCATGAGTATTCACATCACATTTGAAGTTAATTCGGAGTTATAGAGATTTGAATACCGCGCGGTAGTTACGTATTCTCTCAGTTAAAAAACTTTGAATGCATTTTTCTCAAAACTCAAAAAAAAACAAAGTTTCGAGAAAAACTTAGTGTACGTACCTACCGGGCGGTATTCAAATCTCTATAACTGCGGTAATATATAAAAGTATAGAACCAGACCTATGTAACTCCTTAATAAATGCTATATAAAACTTACCCTAATTGCTGCTGCGTGATTATTTTGCAATAATCCGTCCGTAACAATCTCTCTTATTTTTTGACCAACTTCTGCAAGAGTTTTGCTGTCATTTATGCGCATATTATGATTGACAAGGAGTTTAACGTCACTGTCATAGCTAGGAAGAGAGGCAGACCAGTTTTCATCTACAAAAATGAGCAATTCATAAAAAGTTATAGAGGAAATTACATTTTTAGTAAATAATAAAACACATTAACAAAAGTGTCACTAAAATAGTTTTATGTAAATGGCAAATAAAATAATATTATTTGTTAAAAAGCTGCTATAGAATATAAACAACGCAGGCAAAGTCCTGCTACTGCATAAACTCTTATTTCTTGTCTGGCAAAATGAGACTATGCCCTGTGAATCGTTTCAAGGCGTGATATGACCTTTACTTAAAAAGGTGATCAGCTGCCGTGTGACAACTAGAGAAGTATAACCCTGTTAACAACTGCTTACAAAATAATTGCGTATACAATAAACCAACCAATCTTTCGTAAGTAATATGCATTTTAGAAAAAGTTCGGCACCGCTGTACGAATGTACTACTATGTACTATACTTCTAAATAACCTAGAACTAAATCCTAGTTGTTGTGTTCCCACCACCAAACGTGCACAATTTATAACGAATTATAAGAATTTGGAAGCATAGGAAGCATGGAAAAAGCTAGATTAAGAAACCTCAATAAAGAAATAAAACGAAGATGTAAGGCCGACAAAAAACATTACTATCAAAGTATATGCAAAGAAATTGAGAGACATGGTCAGAATAATTAGCCAAGAGATCTATTTAGAAAAATACGCTACCTGACAAGAGACTTCAGAGCCAGAACTTGGACCATTGAAGATAACACTGGAACCCTGAGAACAAACAGAGAAGACATAGCAGAGACATGGAGATCGTATTGCAGGGACCTATATAAAGATGATCAACGCCAAGATCTTGTTAGCCAAATCTCTGACGAGGTGGAAGAAGAACCTGATATACTCGAAAATGAAGTAAGACAGGCTATCAACAAGCTCAAATATAACAAAACACTAGGTCCAGATATGATAACAGCAGAAATGTTTAAAGCCACAGAAGAGACCGGCGTAAAGTTACTTCATCTACTCTGTAACCAAATATGGCATTCCAAACAATGGCCTGAAGACTGAACAAAATCTACAATAACGACCATAGATAAAAAGGCAGCTTCCATAAATGCGACAATTATATAACTATCTCTCTTATATCCCATGCCAGCAAGATAATGCTACATATAATCAATGAGAGACTGAAAACATTCCTTCAAAGAGAAATTCCACAAGAGCAAACTGGATTTACCAAAGGAAGAGGCACTCGAGAACACCTGCTGAATATAAGACAGATAATAGAGAAATCTAGAGAATTCAACATCCCACTATACATCTGTTTTATGGATTACCGTAAAGCGTTCGACAGGGTCAAGTGAAGACACTTATGGCGAATATTAAAAGAAGTAGGCGTACCGCAACATCTAATTACGCTTATAACTGAACTATATGAACATACTACTACATCAGTTAAAGTACTTGACACCATTTCGAACGAGTTTCATCCAGAACGGGGTGTCAGACAAGGATGTATACTATCTCCACAATTATTCAACATATATGGGGAGTATATTATGGAGCACTTGAAGAATGGGAAAAGAGCATCTCAATCAATGGTCATAAACTAAACAACCTACATTTCGCAGATGACACAGCTCTTCTTGCAAATAGTCAAGCAGAGCTGATGGAACTTGTACAACTGATCGAAAACGAAAGTCAAATATTTGGTCTGCAATTAAACATATCAAAGACAAAGATCATGATAGTGGATAGACTACACAACAATCATCCACACATAACCACAATTGACCGGTTCGAGGTTGTGAGCTTATACTTATATCTGGGATCATTAATCACAAACACAGGGCCATTACAAGAAGAGATTAAACTTAGATGTGATCTAGCAAAAGTTGCCACAGCAAAAATGACCAAAATATGGAAGGACTGTCACATTTCAAGAGCGATAAAGATGAGGTTGTTCAACTGCTTAATATTCCCAATACTGACCTACGGATGTGAATCTTGTACTCTGAGACAATCGGAGAGAAGAAAGATAGACGCCACTGAAATGTTCTGTTGAAAACGAATGTTACGAATTCCTTGGACCGACCGTAGAACAAATAATTCAATTTTAAGAGAGCTAAAAGTTAGCCAACGACTCTAGTAAAGTCCATCTCCAACAATTAAAATATTTTGGGCATGTTATGAGAGCAAACACAGCAAACATGGAAAGACTCATAATACAAGGAAAGGTAGAAGGCCGAAGATCACGAGGAAGATCCCCAACAAGATGGACAGATCAAATGACAGAGATCTCTGGAGACGGACAATACACAACATCACGTCGACCACTACACTCCCCCTGGGGGGTCAGGATTGAAGAGAAAGAGAGAGGAAGCATTAAGTAAACTTCTCAAGGTAAGCTTTTTCGCTATCTTTTTTTCTTAGGATGCGTGATTACGCATATTAATTTATTAGTGTTTGGTGAATTAACTCTAAAATGCACTGTTCTAGATAATGAGTTATTATTACTAGTTATTACTAGGTTGGGACACAATGAACCATGGTTCACTTTGTACCCATCCAATTTTTTAGATTTATTTTTGTTTTCAGGATGGTTCGCATTACAAAAATAGAGAGAAAGAAAGGCGCTCATACTATTGATCAAATGAAAGCAGCATTGGACTTATAAACGAGGGGTATGAGTTTTCGAAAAGCAACAGTAGAAAGTAAACAAGCGTGTTCTTCTTCTTCATGTGCCATCTCCGCTACGGAGGTTGGCAATCATCATAGCTATTTTAATTTTTGAGGCAATATCTCTAAATAGTTGTTTTGAACTGCATCCAAACCATTCTCTCAGGTTCTAAAACCATGAAATTCGTCTTCTTCCGATGCTTCTTCTGCTATCTATCTTTCCTTGCATTATAAGTCGCAGAATGCCATACTTCTCGCCCCGTATCACATTTTCAAGATACTGTAGCTTTCTTTCTTTAATTGTAAGTTTAACTTTCTTCTCTTTACCTATTCTTCTGATTACTTCATTGTTCGTAGCTATATCTACCCAGGAAATCCTCATAATTTTTCTATAGATCCACATTTTAAAGGCGTTAAGTCGTCTCATTGTGTCTACATTTATCGTCCATGATTCCACTCCATAGTATAGTACACTGTATACATAAAATTTTGTTAGGCATGCTTTAAGAATTAATATTATTAAATCTTTGCCACATAGGACCTTTTTCATTTTCATAAAATTAGAAAGTGTTTTTTCGATTTTGACTGATTTCTGCAGTGTAGTCATTATTTACTCTTATAAGTGTTCCGAGGTAAGTGTACTTTTTTACTCTTTCGATCTGCTGGCCCTCTATTATCAAGATTTCGTTAGTATTATAATTGTTTTTACAAATTTTCATAACCTTCGTCTTTTTTATATTGAGCGGGAGTCCGTACTCCCTACTGTACATTACTATTTTACTTGTTTTTCCAGGTCTTATAAACTATCGGCTATTATTACTGTATCATCTGCATATCTGATGCTGTTAACTAAGACTCCATTTACTCTTATGCCGACTGTTTCATTTTCGAGAGTTTCTCGAATTACCTCTTCAGAATAACCGTTAAATGCGCGTTCTACATTAAGGCAATGTGCTGAAAAAAGAAAGTTTGCTTGCTCTAAACGAAAACATAAGATTCGTTCGTAACTATGAGATGAACGTAATTTTCACAAGTGAACGAGAAGACCCATTTCACAACTTGTGCTTTTATGTTTTATGGAATGGCGTCTGTTAAATGTAGAAAGGTCGCTTATCAAATGGCTTGTAGGAATAATATTAAAATTCCTGATTCATGTAGAATACAAAAATATGCAAAATATCAAAATTCTTGATTTATAAAAGACTGCAGAAATTAATGTCGAAAGAAAGTGCAAAAAAAGTATTTTTGAAGTGTGTATATTTTAGGCAATTCCTAGCTGAGCGCTTTCGGCTTTACAAAGCCATCATCAGAGCTATGCTACAATAAAATGTTCTTATAAGTACTAATTGGTAAAGATTATAATTTTTAACTTACGTCAATTTTTTAAATACACGTACAAAACGTGTGTTTTTTAAGTGTGTACAAAAAAATATCAGTCTTTTGATTAGAAATTAATGTAGAATCTAGAAATATGCAAAATATGCAAAAATTTTAAATTCCTGAATTATGGAAGAATGTAGAAATTAATGTCGAATGCAGAATGCAGAAATATGCAAAATATTAAAATTCCCGATTTATGGAAGAATGCAGAAATTAAAGTAGAATACAGAAATAAGCAAAATATATGCATTTTGCATATTTGCTTTAGTCTAATCATGAGTATGCTTATAATTTTACCATTAGTTCTGGCTAGTGCTTCTTCACTTTCAATACCAATCAACAGAGGAAGTTGCTTCATTTTTCCTTGTTCAACAGCTGCATACATACGTTCCGTAATGAAAGCATTTTCGTGTTCTGGTTCTATCACAGGAGCGTAGAAAAATCCTTGGATGATTTCTTCGTTGCCAACGGTGTCCTAATAACACAAAAAAGTACATTTAAATTTATACCTCAAGTATTAAAATTCAAATGAACAGTAATCAATACAACGATTTCGGGATTATTTGAATTATCTCGAGTGTTGTAAAATATTTAAGAAAGATAAAGATATTTGTTTACAATGCAGGTGTTTTTTGTTTGCTAGAGGAATGAAGGAAAGATAGTAATTATTTAAGAGCCACTTGAACGATGGCCTATCTTCTCCGAAAATTATTTCTTGCTATAGGAAAACCACTCGTTGTTGAAGTAGACTTTTATTTTTTTAATTTATATGTGTATGTTATATGTGTAAACAAAAGTCATGCACTCCGAAGACACCGTGACAATAATAAACGATAAAGTTATAGAAAAAGTTGAAGAATATATATACTTGGGACAAAAAATAATCCTAAATAGGGAAATTCAGACTGAAGAAATAAAAAGAAGAAGAAAGTTAGCTTGGGCAGCATTCGGTAAACTGAACTATATACTCAGAAATCAACAAATTCAATTACATCTTAGATCTAAAGTTTTTGATGCATGCATTATTCCGATATTAACTTACGCGGCACAAACATGGACAATCACAAAAAAGAATATGAATATACTTAGAGTCACTCAACACGCGATGGAAAGAGCAATGCTAGGTACATCACTTAAGGACAAGAAAACAAACACATGGATAAGACAGAAAACCAAAGTCACCGATGTGGTGCAAAAAGCATTAAAGCTGAAATGGGAATACGCTGGACATGTAGCTAGGAGCGATCTAAACAAATGGCACAGATCGATTTTAACCTGGAGACCATACCAACACAAAAGACCCAGAGGCAGACCTCCTATGAGATGGACAGATGATCTGAAAAGGACTGCCGGGAAAAATTGGCTACAAGTAGCGTACAATAAAAAACAATGGAAAGGAAGACTTGAAGAAGCTTATGTTCAGATGTGGACGTGAATGGCTAGACGAAGAAGAAGAAGAAGATGTGTAGGACAAACACTACAGTACCTTTAACCAACTTACACCTCTAAACGATTAACGGAATGCGCAGAAAATCTTTCATTGTAGTAAAAGGTACGGTAAACTGCAGTGGTGTTCTCCATAATGTTTAACACTTTGCTAAATATTAGGTATAAAATAAATATAGTTATGTGCCATTGACCCATTGTTCATAGTTGTGCATATTTTGTTACATTTTTTTTTAATAAATAGTATTCTTGCATAATGTTATTTAATGTAAATTTATATTCAGTGGTTCAAAAAAGAATTAAATTTTTAAGAGAATATACTAGACTTAAATCTGAAAATGTAACATTTGTATATTTAGATGAGACATGGATATTTGCAAAGGGTGAAAATAAAAGGGTTTCGCAAGACTACAGCATAAAATCAATAAAACGCACAGATAGCGAAGGCAAATGACACATCATTCTTCATGGTGGAGGGCAAGAAGGCTTTATAGAAAACGCAGATTTGATTTTTTCTTCAAAATCAAAATCAGCTGATTACCATAAAAACGTTCATGCAGATATGTTTCTTAAATGGCTTGAGGAGAAACTGTTACCTAGTCTAAGTGAACCGTTAGTCATATCAGTTATAGTTTAAGGTAATGCACCTTACCATTCGAAGATTTTGGAGAAACAACCAAAACAGTCGTGTAATGTACTGAGCAAAAGAAATTGGTTAGTTAACAATATCAATTTTTACGGAATACGCCTTCAAATCAGAATTACCCGAAATTTCGAAACGTAATGAAAAACCAACAGTTTATCATCATTCATCATCGTTTAATCTTCGCTTATCCACTGATAGACATAGAGCTTCCTCATAATTTTCCATCTATTTCGATCTTGTGCATCTTGCATCCAATTTCTATGACTATGTTTTAGATCGTCAGTCCAACGTGTTGGAGGACGACCTCTGCTTTGGTAGGCATCATTTCTTGGTCTCGTAGCAAAACTCCCAACATAGCACACACGGATTTGACACACACGGATCTTTTGAACTGTTCTCCTTGTCATGGTCAACGTTTTCTCACCGTAAGTCAACAAAACACACTGAATAAGGCATATTGGCATATTAGACGATTTGAAAATATGGTTCAGCTTGCCGAAGGCTGTCCAAATCAGTCTTATACGACGGAAAAGCTCAACGGCTCATACGCATATATCTTCGCTGACTACAAGATTTGTCATCATCTGGCTTTTAGATATAATTATTTTCAATCCCCCTTCTAGCGAGGAAAGGTAGAGCTGATTTAAAAGCTCTTTTGCCCCATCTATCCTATCAGCTATTAGTACAATATCATCTGCAAACCTTAGATGGCTAAGCTTTTCTCCGTTTATGTTTATGCCCTTGTCGGTCAGTTTTGCCCTTTTACATATATATTCCAAAAGCGCAGTGAACAGTTTCGGCAATATGGTGTCCCCCTGGCGTACTCTACGTTGTATCGGGAATTTCTGGGTTTGACGATTACCCACTCTAACACTGGCTGTTGCGTTTTGGTATATGTGTTTAATTATATTTATATAACGATAGTCAACTCGGCATTCTGTCAAGGCCTCCAATAGTTTTTGTTGATTTAAGGTGTCGAATGCCTTTTCATACACATATTAAAGCTAGTAGTTTATTATATTCAGTGCATTTTTTATTATTAGTAGGTGATCGTTTGTTCCATAGCCTTTTCTAAAACCCGCCTGCTCTATGGGCTGATAAAATTTCAATTTATTTTCTAGTCGTTTTGTAATTATTTTTGTAAATAGTTTATAAATATGTGAAAGTAGACTTATGGGCCTGTACTTCCTGAGGTCGGTAACATCCTCTTTTTTATGAAGTATGATAATTTCTGCGTTATACCACTGCGTTGGTGTTATTGCTTCCTGCAAACCTATAGTGAATAGTTTGGCAAGGACCTGCCACAATATTTTTCCAGCCTTTTTCAAGGCATCTGCCACTATTTCATCGCCTGCGGGGGACTTATTGTTTTTTCATTTCTTGTACTGAACTTCAAACTTAATTGGGTGTCACGTCCGGTAAAATTTCAGATCCCTGATTGATTATCTTTGGTAACGATCCACTCCGGTTACATTGCTGTTCTTTGTATAGTTGTCTATAAAAACTCTCTATCGTGTTCATAATTTGAACTCTATCCTCAATGATTTGCCCCTGTTTATTTCTTAATTTGTGGACGTTTTTTCTTCCAATGGACATGCTCTGTCTGAGTACTTTCAAGCTTTTGTTTTCTTCTATTACTCTAGTTATTTCCATCGTAGTGTATCGTCTCAGATCTTTTTTAACTTCCTTTTACATAATAGTTTATGTAGTTAACCAAATTGTATTAAGTTATGGACATCAAGTACTTATCACTGCCAATTTATTGCTATCGATCACATCAAGGGTACATGTAAAACGTATTACGATAATCACGTTGGAGGCAGTGGATACAGTGACGATGCATTTAAGAAAATGTGGCAAGAAGCTCTTAAAACTGCAACTTTAGAAATATTAGAAATAACTGTAAATAAATGTGAAAAATTAATAGAAGAATGGTGGATTCAGGAAAATAAAATTAGTGAAATGAATCCAGTGATTATAGTTTAACATAAAGATAGCGGTAGTGAATTTAGTGACGATAATGATAATTTATAAATTTTAATAATCAAGTACACTATTATATTGTTATTTACAAAATAATTGTACAGCAGGTTAACCATTTTCGTTCAAATTAACTCTAACTGAAATATACGCAAAAATATTCTAAACATAGTAAGTAATTAAAAAGATTATGGAGAACTCTAGTGCAGTTGACCGTGCCTGGTACTACAAGAAATATTTTCTGCAAATTCTATTAATTATTTAGAAATTTGGGCGAATCGCTTCGTGGGCTAATCCCCGTGTTTTTAGACTACCGACCGTAACAAAATAGTTGCGAGTGCAATTGGTTTCAGACTGTAGTTTTATAACAGTTGCGTTGCAACTCAACTGTGCGCTCGACCGTAGGTCGAGCTAAGGTTTATTTTTATAATAGATATAAGAATCGATCAATATTGACTTGATATTACTAAATAGATATAACATATTTACCCAAATAGCCTTTGAAGATGCGTTGTTCAAAACACCAGCTGGAACCGATCTTAAGTAAGCGACCAGTTGAGCAGTTGACGAAGATGGATCGAATGAAGGATTAATAGTTTTTGCTAATTTGTATGCGATATCTTTGGAGTCTTTTTGATATGCCCATGGTACCAACAGCGATCCACTTCCAGCTATACCCGCCCAAAAGAGACCTAAAAATATACAGAAATTACTTAGTTAATATGTTAGCCCTCCTAATATTATTTAAGGTCCCATACATATTAACGGTTATTACATGGTAAAACGTGCCAAGTATATTAAAGACCGATAGTTGAGTAATTCAGGAGTCTTTATTGATTTCGTGGCAATATATTGTCCTGTAAACTTCCATTAAGATTATTGTAATAGAGTAGGCGCTAGCTTACCGCCGCCTAGTGCCTTGTTTACCTCAGTATTCACTCTGTTAGTAGCACAGCGTTAACCGTTCCGTATTGTTAATTATATAAAAAGCATAATCATGTTACTGTGCATCTCTTCGGGTACAATCGGCACACGCCACATGAGAGAGGTTGGATCTTCCTATACGACGTTTACTGTAGTATCTTTTAAGATATTAGAAGTTTATTTATCACAGAGTATCACCAACTTATATTTATTACAACCTTAAATGACTTACCTTTCGATTTTGGGCTCATGAATTGGTACGTTACTGAAGCTGCTCCTGCACTAGTTCCCATAATTGTTACCCTATTGGGATCACCACCAAAATATTCAATGTTATTTTGGATCCATTTCAGTGCAAGGTTTTGATCTTTAAGACCGTAGTTTCCTGGACTTGATAAATCATCTGTAGCCAAGAAGCCTAAAATAAATGTACCAATGTATAACATCAATATTTTTTGCTCAATGCGGTTGTCTATTTAAGAAAACACAGTAAATTAAAACAAAGTAATTTAGTCAAAGCTCTTAGCACTAAGGAAATTCGAAAGCGTTGTGTTTATTTATACGGTTTTTATTATTTCTATATGTCTGACCTATATATTTTGGTTGCGTACAACTGCAATTGATTGTATGTACATATGTAGTCTGTTTTTACTAAATTTTTCGTTAACACACACAAATAATAGGGATTTCATAAATATATCAAGTTTATCCAACAGATTCTGTATCTTGTGTCATCTGAAAATGCACTTAAAGAAGTCTGCGGCATCATACCAATTTCGTATGTTTTCAAACCAGGAGTTTAATTTTCTTTCTTTTCTCAGTCTTACTGGTAAGTATAAGTTTTAGAAAGTAACATAATTGCCTCATATAAAAGGTGACACAAAAAACTTTCGTTCTTTCACTATACTCATACTCTTTGGTAGCTCAAGTAGTATTCTCATAATTCACATTTTGCATGTATTAATTCACATCTGGATGTTCAGGACCAGAAATAACGCTCAGTGAAGTAACATATATGCAATAAAAAGACTAAAAACCAACGAAGCACTTGGACCTAATAACATACAAGTTGAAATATTGAAACTATTTGAAAACAACCAACTCAAACTCTTAACGAGTCTACTGAACAAAATCGCAGAATGCAGAATTTCCTATCGGTTGGCTAGTTTCCACCTTCATCCCTCTTCCCAAAAAGGCAAATGCCACCAGATGCTTTGTTTACAGAATTATAAGTTTAATGAGCCATGCACTCAAAATCCGTCTTTCTGTTTTTTACTCTCGCATATATAGAAAACTTGAAGAAAACATTAGCAGACGTCTACGCATACTTTATAGACTGAAAAAGCATTTGACAAGGTGCAACATCAAAAATTATTTCAGATACTGAAAGAATCTAGTATTGTTGACAAAGATTTACGCCTAATTGAAAATTTATACTTACAGAAAAGGGCAACTGTACGAGTAGACAACAAAACCTCACAAGAATTCACGATAAAACGGGGAGTACGTCAGGGCTGCATTTTGTCACAAAGGTTGTTCAATACTTACTCGGAAATGCTGTTCAGGGAAGCTATTGATGGTTTAAGAGAAGGTATAAAAATCAATGGTAAAATCATAAACAGTTTAAGATATGCCGACGATACGGTTTTGATTGCTGATAATGCGGAGGATCTGCAAACATTAATAGACCGTGCAGTGGAAGATACGGCATGAAATTAAACTGTAAGAAGACCAAAATTCTTGAAGTAAGTAAAGGGGTCGAAGCCTGAACCTTGACGGAGGCAACATCCAAACGATTAGAAGCCTTCGAAATGTGGTGCTACCGTCGCGTGCTCAGAATTTCCTATATCCATCATGCTACAAACAACACCGTTATCCAACGTATGAATAAAGATCTGCATGCATGTGATGCGCAATAAGAAGTATCAACTAATTTAACTAATTTTACAAGGCAAGATAGAAGGCAAACGATCTCAAGGGCACAGAAGGACATCGTTGTTGAAGAACATCAGACAATGAGCAGTAATGACAACCATACATCTATTTAGAGCAGCTGTCAATAAAGTTGTATGGACCAATGTGATTACCAACATCGACAGAGGATAGGCACCAAAAGAAGAAGATGATTTAATTTTACTTTATGATTTAACTTTTATTGACCATTATCTGCATATCTGTATCATTCAACAATATTCAATCAGACAAATTGTAAAATTTAAGGATCTCTAGCTGTATGAAATATTTTTAAATTTAGTAAAAGCTGCCTTAGGTGTTCCTAGTATTACTTTAACTTTCTCATTACAATTACATTTGTTCGAAAGAGTGGATCCAAGATATTTAATTTTCTCAACTCTTTTAATTTGTTGGTCGTGAGACAATACTGAAACCGATTTCGAACAAAAACTGGAACAGTAACATCTTCTAAAACTTTTTTATATATTTTTAATTTGACTTGTTGAAAAAAGTTACTAGTTTACAAAATACACTAATTCCTTAGCAGAAAATGCAAAGAATTGTCTAACAACTAATTATAACTTACCAAAGGGACCCACACGATAGCTGATAGTTACAAACATTACCCCGTTTTCCATAAAATAGTGAGGTCCTGCTTGTTCAAAGTTTGAAGTACCACAAATGAATCCTCCTCCATATATCCATACTATTACAGGGAGATTCTTTTCATGAACTGGTTTCTAAAATAGAAGTATTTAGAAAAATTACATTAGGTGTTTTATTTTCAGTGATTTAAGATGAAAGAACTATTTTTTAAATGAAAGAATATTCGTCCAACATGGCTTTATTTAAACACTATTCCAATTAAGATCTACAAATATTTATTAACTAAATAATAAATACTTACTTTGGGTGTGTAGACATTAAGGAACAAACAGTCTTCCGTTTCCAAATCTTCCACATTAGGAATGCCAAAGCCATTTGCTACCTGATAACAAAGCTTTGTGTTCTTTGTGGCATCTAACACATCATTCCACGAGTCAGCAGGTTGTGGTTCCTACATAATAAAAAAAATATAAAAAAATTTTTATTCATACAAAAAAATTAATATTAGAGAATAATTCTGTTCTTTTTAATTGCTAGAATAACAGAACTACGAAAGATGCGAATTAAAGACTAATATACCTTGAAGGAAGACATCATTAAAAGTTGCAAGAATAATTAGAAAACTCAAAGGAGAAGGGGCTCAAGGAATGCAAGGAAGCTACAACATTACACTTAAGGAGTTGCCAAAGAAGATAACAATACAGCTTTTTTTACATATACAGATATTATCTGAAAAATTTCTCCAACTGAGAGATCTCCAATCCAAGAAAGGCTCCAGTACGTATCCCTGAGGGATACGTACTTAGCCGTAAGAGAGAGTGAAAAAGTCGAACACTAGACACTAAGAAGACTCCCCAAGACCAGAGACATCCTCACCAACAATAGGGTGCAGCTACAATTCTGGGATAAGTATAGATCATTTAATTAAGTTAGGCCTAGTTGTTGCTGAGATAACCAAGTAGGGATGCAGATACAGCGCTGGAAGTGAAACTTACTAAAGCAGACGTCCAGAAGCCTAACAACACCAGAGCTAATACCCGAAGAGAATGTGGTCTCAGAAATTAAAAGATGCACTGCATCATAAGTTTTTATTTTTATGCTTTAGTGAGCATATGCATGTTCTGGAGAATCAGGAGACTTTTATCTTATATTATCATCTAAACAAAAACTTACCTTGAATCTTAAATCGCCTACCGGAGCTTTCCCATAAGGTATTTGCTGAAACGCGTAAAATGGAACTCCAGTTTTCCTCATGGAGTACTCCATTCGTCCACGTACTTCTCCATTTAAAGTTTTTACTACTAGATCGTCTGCTTTCTAAAATTATAAGAACATATTTATTTAAACTACGTTTGAATGTATAGCCTGTATGTTATTCAATATTGAATAATATACAGCCTGTATATTCAATAATGGGAACGGACACTTTTTATTGGTCATTTGTTATTTCCCAATATGCGAGGTTGGAGTGTGTATAGTTCCTCATGACTCACCCTGGCGTTGAACTTTAAACATTTTTTATGTCTTCTTCTTCTTGTGGTACCTATCCGTTATGGATGTTGACTACTAGCATGGCAATTCTAACTTTATTGACCGCAGCTCAAAATAGTCCTGAAGTAGTCAAGGAAAACCATTTTCGTATTTTTTAACTATTACATTAAACCATTTTATAAGCAAAATCCTACAATAAGTAACCTAATAGAATATAAAAAGATGGACGCATTAGCAAAGAAAACCTTTAAGGAGAAGAAAAGGAAAAACTGGAGGGAATATTGTGAAAGTTTAAATCAAAATACTCCCATTAAGGAGGTATGGAGGAAAGTTAATTGCTTCAAAAATCGCAAACAATCCAATAATTTATGTATCGACCCAGACGAACCGTGGATAACAGATTTTTACCAAAAAATTTCACCAGATTGGGTTCCGAATGACATTAACAATTCCATAGCCACCGTTTCTAGAGATAACCTTAGCTTAGATCGTCCATTCTATCTATGGGAACTAAGAAGGGTCCTCAAACAAAATAATAATACTGCTCCTGGTAAAGACAATATATCTTATTCCATGATCTCTAATCTTACAAATGAACATAAAATCTATCTACTTAATATTCTAAATAATATTTGGCAGAAACAAGCACCAATTCCTGAAAGCTGGAAGGAGTATATTATAATACCTATAAGGAAACCTGGCAAACGTGATGACGATCACAATTCATATCGCCCAATATCTCTAGCTTCTTGTCTTCTTAAAACCCTGGAAAGACTAATTAAAAATAGATTAGAACATTGGTTAGAATTTAATGATATTCTTTCAAACTCCCAATTTGGTTTTCGTAAATATAAATCCACTCAAGATGCCATAACTGCTCTCGTAACAACAGTTCAAGTCAATTTCACGGAAAACTCATCCACTGCAGCTGCATTTCTCGATGTATCATCTGCTTTTGATAATATAAATTTAGATATCCTTGAACAAAAGTTATTGTCAGTCGGGAGTCGGGATACCTATAGGTATAACATCTTTTCTGAAAACTTTGTACTCAGACAGATTGATTTACTTAAAAATCAATGAGAAAATTTTTTCTTCTCGACTGTCTAATATAGGACTGCCGCAGGGAAGTATTTTAAGTCCACTTTTATATATTTTATATAATATAGATTTAGAAGTCATTGTTCCTATTAACACCAAAATACTACAATATGCAGATGATGTGGTACTCTACTCATCAGACAAATCAATTGATGTTTCTAAAAATATTTTAACAACAGCTATTTCATCAATACATGCATTTTATAAATCAAATGGATTAACATTATCAGAATCCAAAACAGAAATCTGCTTCTTTTCTAGAAAACATAGAACTCCAGAAGGGTATATAAATTGTGGTCAATTCAAATTTCCAATTAAAAATTGCGTCAGATACCTCGGAACTTATTTAGACAGAAAACTTTTGTGTAAAGATCATATTCAACATATCATTAAAAAAACCGAAACAGCTATGAATATCCTAAGAGCTTTCTGTAAAACAAACTGGGGTGCAGATCCCAACATTAGTTTAATGTTTTATCGATCTATGATACGACCAGTTTTTGATTATAGCTGTCACTTGTATGGTAATGCATCGAACACTCATTTAACAAAAATTGAAATACAGAAAAATAAGTGCCTACGCTTGTGCCTTGGGTATCTGAAATCTACACCAATTAATGTAATGGAAATTGAAGTTGTTGAACCGCCATTGAATTTACGGAGGCAGTATCTTACCGACAAATATATAGCTCGTACCATTAGCAGAGACCAAGTATTTCTCAAAGATATACACAATCTGGCTGTTTTAGATTTGACTAAAAGGTATTGGTTTAAGACTCGTGGCGGAAAGCTACAGAAATCTTTCTAAATTTAAAGAAGTACTTTATAAGGGTCATATTCCACCAGTTTATACTGAAAAGCCTCATGTACTGTTCTCAATAAAAATCAAGACAGAATTTCTCAATGATGTCCAAGGCCCCATGTTTAACGCAGAAATTCAGAAGAGATGGCCTAATTATTATTATATGTTTACCGATGGTTCAAAAAAGGGAAATAACACTGCTTGCGCAGTATATCAACAGTATTCTGGACAACATCATAAATATAAATTACCTAATGAAGCCTCCATCTACACATCCGAAATGCTGGGTTTAAAGTTTGCTCTTTCTCACGTTTTGACAAAGGAAATGAAGAACTGTGTAATATTTACAGACAGTAAAAGTGCAGTAGAAAGATTATGTGAAACAATTAAATCCAAGCAATTGACTCATCTTGATATAGAGATATTAAAATTGTACTACGAGGTTTCAAAGCTCGGAGGAGAAGTTAATATCGCATGGATCAAAGGCCATTCTGAGATAAAGGGTAATATAATAGCAGATATATTGGCAAAAGAAGCATTATCAAGCGGAGAAACCATATTCAACAATATTCTACCGGTGTTAGATATAGATGTAAATAGTAAACAACGGCTTAAATTAAAATGGCAAGCCAATTATGCGGAATCCGAAAGACAGTCATCATTTAAATATTGGCAACCCACAATTCTTAAAAAAAGGTAGTTTCATTCAGAGTCCAACAGAAGTTTTATTAAAACTATTAATAGGCTAAGGTCAAATCATGCTCTAACACCTTCAAGAATGTACAAAATGGATCTAGCAGACATTCCAAACTGTACTTGTGGTAAATATGGAAATTTAACACATATCCTATTAGAATGTGGAAACCAACAAGGGAATATTACATGTTTTTATGAAAACTTACGAAAACTAAATGTGTGTTTCCCATTTCACATAAATGAGTTATTCTCATTAATGAGTTCACATTAATGAGTTTTCTCTGGAAACTTAGAAATTTATAATTGTATTTATCAGTTAATAAGAAATTGTAAATATAAACTTTAAACAATATAAAGTACTAACCCTAGAATTAAGATAAAATTTGTAAGCAATTTGCGAACATATCAATCATGTAAAAAACCTTTTAATACGAAAAAATTAAAAAAAAATGGAAAAAAAAGAGACAAAAAAAAACAAATAAATAAAAAAAAAATAGGCCAAACCAAATTAATATAAAAAAAGACCAAAACAAAATAAAAAATATATATATATATATATATATATATATATATATATATACATATTATATACAATATCAAAAAAGTAATACAAAGAAATAAAAAAAATCAAAAAAAATATAAAAAATAAAAAAAAAAATCACAAATAAACAAAAAAAGAAAAATCAAAACAACTCAATTATTTAATTTATTTTTAACTTACATTTAGTACTAACTCGAACTTTGATTGTTGTTCTGTGAATACAAATTACAAAACAGTCTGGTCATTTGGCTATGCCAAGGCCATTAAAAAAAAAATTAAACCATTTTTATGTAATATTTGTTATAACTGTTTAAATACCTTGTATAACAAATTACAACTTTACTCTGATCGAAAGAGAAAGCAAATTTCAAATATAGGATGTTCCGTTTAAAAAAATATAGTTTTGTTCTGGAATGCCATTATGAAACACTCTGTAAGACTGTAATTAATTTTATATATTATGAAGTTTATGAGTTTTATAATGATAAATTTACTGAGCTTCCTTATACTAATAAATCACCCTGTATACATCTTTAACGTTGGTACATTAGAAACTGTGACTTGCACAGTGAACTTTTGAAATTCGCTAGATCAACGACAAAATTGAAAACTTTAGGTATATTTGCATTTACCTTTATATCACCACCATGATCGCTCTCCTCCATTCATCTGGTACTCTGTTTGTGGTAATTATTTTATTAATAAGAAGTTGCAGTTGTTGTACAAGGTAATCACCTCCATATTTTAAGATTTCATTTGGTATTTGATCTTCTCCTGGTGACTTTCTGTTTTTTAATTTGTTTATATACTTCTTTCACATAGTTTTGTGTGATTTTGGTATTTTCGTCAGTTATTATATTTGGCGTTTCTGGTAAAGATTCTTCGTTTTGTTTTTTAAACATTTCTGTCAGGAAGACCACCCATCTATCCTCTTGTGTGTATTCTATTTCAACTAGTTCTTTCATTTCGCTTCTTTGTTGTCTTATGAAGCGCCATCCTTGTTTCTGTTGTCCATAGAAATCCATCTCTAGTCCTTCTGTGAATCTTTCCCAGTAATCTGTTTTTGTTTTACTTACCAATTGATGAGTTTCAGTTCTTATTATTTTATATTCTTCATATGATTCATTCATTTTTTCTGACTTCCGCTGCAAGGTATTTAAACTCAGCGTGCAGCGACCGAGATATCAGTTCTCCTGAAACATCAAGACGAAGCAGAACTGATCTGACTTGACAATGGCAAGTCAGATTGGAAGGAAATGCTAGACCTATCGTAAACCAGATCGTAAAATCACCTTCCTCAACACAATCCTTGAACTGCTAAGAAGGATATTTATCAATAAGATTAATTTATACATAATCAATGAAGATCACAAATATTTTCGACAAAATAGAACAAGGATGCTGTGTTCATAGTCAACACAATTAGTGAGAAACTATTGCAACGTCAAAAAAAATCTGTAGCCTTAAGATTAGACAAAAGGGGCAAGATGAAGCATCTGATATAATGCTAATAAATTTTAGATTAGGTAGGTTTAGTTAGGTGTTAGGTACTTATATAGAGTTTGATTTAATTAATTATAATATACTTGTGGTATTTGTACTTGCTTGTAATCGATTTGGCATCAATTGCACATTGGTTCCAACGCACACTTGAGCTGTTGGTCCAGGTTCACGCTTAGGAATCATTATTTTGTCACAATTATTTAATTTCTTTTAAAATACAAAATTTAATTAGTTTGATTTGAATATCTTTTCAGTATAACACCAGATTTATTTGTATCACTTCAAATTCATTAAGGCATGACTAAGTTTTAATGGAAAATTGATAATAGTAATTATTTAGCATAGATAAACGGTTTACATACATCCGTCCTCGATCGAGTGTAGACTAAGACTAAATTAAATGGGATCAAAGGTGATTTTACTATAAGGTCCTTTTTTGAGTGCCTAGTGGTTTTGTAATGTTGGTCCTATACAGGGTGTCCCAAATTGATATGTTTTGCAGAGTATACCGATAACTAGATAAGATAGAAAAAAGTAGTTATTGTCTTGACTCCTTTTTTCGTTATAGTAGCGATTGTCCAATCAAATCATCAATACCTACCCAGAGCGAGATACAAGGCGACTATTGAAAAATGTCGAAAACGACAGGGTTATATATTATGTATTATTGTGCAGTCCTTCCGTATTTAGCGTATATTTTGATTTTTTGCATTTATAGTAATTTCCATCTCAGCACTATTCATACTTAAGCTTTTGCTTAGATGTTGTAGGTCTTATATGCTAGTTGCAATACTCACACTTTCATATGCATATCGTAAGTTAATAAATTTTTCTCGTGACGTTCTCGTAGATGTTTTTGATTAGTGTCGTGTACCTGTAATCTATTCGGCTTTGATTTAGGGCTTCCAGTACTGTTTCAAACTCTACAGAATCAAAAGCCTTCTCGTAATCGCCAAATGCAAGCACCAGTAGTGTGTTATACTCGATGCACTTTTCTATTAAGATCTTTATAGTATACACATGATCATTTGTGCCATATCTTGCCCTGAAGCTTGCCTGTTATTTGGGCTGATAGAAATCAAATTTAGGTGTTAGTCTTTTTGTAAAGATTTTCATAAAAAGTTCACAGAATGTTAAAAATGCAAATTACTTTGGAAGCTACTTTCTCAAAACTAACTTAGACGTACAAGTTCCCTTCTGTTCCAACCCTTTCAACTAAAGCTGTTTGGTTCCAATATAGTGTTTGGGTTATCTTTATTATTTTACTGTCAATGTTCTTATTTATAAGTACGTATTGATATTAATTTTTCATGTCTTACACTATCAAAAGCTTTTTCGTAGCCAACAAAGCACAAGTGTAGGTCAACGTTCACATCACGACACGAGTACCTATCTCATTTCGGAACCTGAGCTGCATCTCACTAATCTCCTCTTTTAAATTTTGTTAAATTATCATCGTATGTATAAAATTATGTAAGAATAAAAACAGAACGAATATATACTGCGCGGTATAAGTTAGGGATATTGCCAATATAATGGTACTTCATTTTGTTTCAATTATTTGTAAGGAAGCAATGAAAATTATTATAGTTTGTAAAGAACATGAAATTTTGAGACCTTATAAAGATAATCAGACCAAAAAAAAAATATTCTAAATATTGACAAAGCACCTATTAACACATTGGCTGCCACAAGGATCACCGGCGATCCTAACTAACAGATTACAATTGTGCCATTAGGATCACCGGTGTAAAGGTCGATTCAGAAACATCAGTCCCGTCACAGTCTCGGCGCCGAACCGGTCCTGTTTGGTCACAGAACTATCAACTATCTGACAGCTGGCAAACTGTTCGTCAACTGATGAATGTGAATGCCGGCGCCATATTTCTGTTAAAGAATATTTTGTATGACGGATTCTTCGGTTCGGCGCCAGGACTGTTACGAGACGTGACTGATGTGTCTGAATCGACCTTTACTAGTGCGTATTTAACTTTCAGAATTATAACGGTCGGCACTGTGAGGACGCTCAACTAGTTTTACTGTGGCACACTAGGAACCCATAGCTAGCTTATGTTATTTTTTTAGGCGCAATAATGTCGTAAATAGCTTGTAACGACAGTTGATAATAAAGCGTTGTAGCAACAATTAGTGGCATTCATTATCAAGTTTTTCTACGGAATTAGCAGTTTTTTTGGTGAATTTGAAATTATATGAAGTAAGTATATGTAGTTTATTCATTTTAAAATCTTGTTGCTTGAATATTTGTAAGGATAAACAGAATATTACAGCATTTATTTTACATAACCTCAAATGTTTTTGCTTACATTTAATTAATGAAAAATGGTGAGAGTAAAGTTACTTGTTTTAATTGGAATTTGTCTTTCAGATCATGGATAATTTACCAAGTACAAGTAAAATGCAGCGTCTGCCAAATAAAAATAAAAATTTGACAGAGGCGGAGTTGCTCAAATTGTTAGAGGAGGATACTGATGAATGTGTGTTATCCAATTCACAGTACAACCCGAGAAGAGGTCAGAAGAGGTTAGAACGAGATCCTACAGCATACCCAAGGAATAAAATGAGGAAAATAACAATACCGTACATAAAAGGATTATCAGAAAAACTTAAAAGGATAGGAAATAAATTCAACATTTCAACAACATTCAAAACAACAAACACGCTGAGATCTATTTTGTCCAAAACCAAACCTAACAATGAACAAGAAAGGACAAAGAATTGCATTTATAAAATACGTTGTGAATGCGATCAGTTTTATTTAGGTGAATCATCAAGGCCATTAAATGTTAGAATAAGACGTGAACATCAATCTTATATTAAAAATAGAGAATTTGATAGATCTCAAATATGTAAACACGCATGGATAATGAACAGGGTTCAATGGAATAATTCAAATGTAGTCCTAAAAGAAACGAATGGTAAAAAAGGAAAAAATCAAAGAAGCGGCTCTAATTATGCTTAATGAGGTCAATTGTGTAGCAAATTCCTCGGCAGAATGTAGTAGGATCTGGTTACCAATATTGAAAGAGGAAGTTATTAATAAGAAAATACCAGTATAAGTAAGTCAGTAACATATAGAGGATACATCATTTATGATTTTTAAATAACGTAACATATAAAATCAGAATTTTGATGTTTGTTGAAGGTAAACCAAATTCACGAACAAATACTTAGAATGTCGGGATGGTATTATGAGGTTTTTTTCCTGGTTTTTCCCTCATAATTTACTATGGAATCACTAACAGGAAAATTTTACTGTCATCATGTCATGCGTTTTTCTTTTTAAAGACGAATTACATGCTATGATTTTTTTCTGACGGATATTCTCAAGTTAAAGTTGATTTCATGTAATCGAATGAACTATCTTATAAGTAAAGTCGTCCCAGGAGCGCAACTCAACAATATTGGCAATATCATTTTAAAGTCGTCTACTTTAAAATGCACAATGTATGTCCGAATTGTCAATATAAATGAGTCAGATAAAATTAAATTATTAGAAGAATTTTTCACTATGTAACAAAAAACAAAATTTGTTTAATTTACTGTTTGTATTTTGAGAACGATTTCCGAAGTGGAAATTGAAACGTCAATAAACGTATTTTTATCTTTAATTGTAGCTTATTCCCAGTTAAATAGTAATTAATTTACAATGCCACAAGAAAATAGCTTCAGAACAATTTCAAGTAATTTTTCGGCTTGGTTTCATGGGATTACAAATTTTAAACAACTTTTAAATTTAATTTAATTTAATAAATTATTCCTTTAGATAAAAAAAATTAAAAAAATAGTATTAATTGTTGATGTAAGTGACTTAGTTGATTTATACAGTGGTATAATTGTTATAATTGTTTATTTAATATTGAGCTATATCCCTAACTTATGAATCGCAGTTTATAACATTGATGCAATAGAGTCAAAATAATTTTAATAATACAAGCAGGTAATGAGAAGGAATGATGAACTATGTTCAAAACAGGCAATAAATTATGCCCCAATGAATATAAGAAGGAAAGACAGATCAGTATTTAAGTTGAAAGAAGGGATAATACAAGATAGAGCCATAAATGGGTCAGAATAGAGAGACCAAGCTAGGTGGATGTAATCAAAATTTGGAATATGGCATAAGCTGTAGGATCTCCGCCCAAAAATATACTCAAAATTTTTGAACCACTGAAAGAAGAAGCCGAAGATGGTGAATAAAACTTTAATTAATGTATATATAACGGCACAAAAAACTGCCACATAAAGAAGCAAAATACAAAACAGGGCTACAAAAAATCATAATGTACTTACAATAAAAGTTTGTATAATGAAACCGAGTGTCACACAGATGAAAGTCTTCCACATCATCTTGTTGCAGTGATATAAAATTTTTCATTCTACATTTTGGATATTTATATAGTAAACTTTGAAACTAATTTTTCTTATCTATTAAGTGCGTTCAAGTGAATTATCTAAAATAATCAGTGATCAATAAAAAATAACAGATATTTATTTGTTGATATTTATAGCTTATCGAAATTATGGATGATATTCACATAAATTATAATAGTTATAGTTGTATTACTAAGCAAATTATTATAGTTATAAATAATGGGTGCTGGAAACGCTGAAATTAAATCCATTGTCGTAGCTGTTTAAAAATTATTCGTCCGCAGAAATGTCCCTGAAACAATTATGTGGTTCTATACTACGTTCCACGTTAAGAAAATAACATTGCGGAGATAGGGCCATGTATTTCTTATGGACGATAGAAACGCGGCGTTGCCACGACACACACAAGCACAATTTAGGGTTGTATAATTTGTATTTTCGTTTCCACAGACATGAATTAAATAAATGTTTTTTAACGTAATTGACCAAAAGTGCCCATTCGAAACAAGAGATGAAAAGTAGGGAAAATGATTTTAATTAGATAAATAGTATTTACAAAAGGTAATTTTATTTTATCTTATTTTAATTATAGTAACGACAGTTTATTTGTTTTTCGGTGAGAATACCAAGCCATGAATCATAGAAATCAGTAGAAAATATTGCTTAGTTAAATCATGGATTTTGCCGCCTATTAAAGTTTTAAAAGCAAATAAACGGACCGCTTAGAATGCGTATATCTAATTACTAATTGCAACTTAAAATAATACGATGTGCGTATGTCAGCGATTTTATGTCGTTCTCTAACTACATAATGATAATAAGGCTTTTATTTAGTAGTTATTCTGACTTTTCAGTTAAATTTTAATTGAAAATGAAAATTCAAAAATTAAGCAAAGGGAATATTTTGGACATCCGTGCAAAAGAGAGTGTCTGAGAGTTTTGGCAACACTGATCTCCATAAGCGTAATGTTATTTTCTTTACTTGAAATAAAGAATAGTGGTATTTTATACGGAGGTGATTAGAGTTTGCGGCAAATCACACAATAACGTGTCTTTTAACCCTTTGTGACCCGACGGTACGTCTGAGTACCACTGTTTTCAAAGCACGTTATAAAAATAATGAATAAAATATTCTTTCTTTCGACTCGACGGTACTTAAAAGTCTACATTATTAGATGCGTCTAACACTCGTAGGTCACAAAAGTGACAGCGGTATTCTAATAATATCACCAAATTCAGTCATAGTTGGCGTCTATTGAACGAGTGTACGTGCTTGTTTATAAAGATACAAAGAATAAAGATGGAAATGACAAAATACAAGAGGAAGAGCCAATACCATTAAATAAAACGAACACAGCAAATAATAGTGATCGTTCAAAATACTCGAAGTCAAATAAAAATGACAAAAATGAACCACAAAGGAAATGGCAAAAGGTAGAGAAGGCCAATTTTTTACCAGATTATACATATCCTGAAGGGATATTAGGTGATCAATTTCTCACCTGCAAAACAGCAACAGATTATTTTTTAACTGTATTAGTAACCTCACTAAAAGAGATTTGTTACCAATCGAATTTATATGCCACACAGAAGAACCAAACACTTAATTTAAAAGAAGAAGAATGTATGTGTTTTATTTGTATAAACTTTTTATGAGCTATCATAAGTTAAGGTACGATTCCGAACACGACCGCAAACTGCAAACCGCAGACCGCAGCGACAGACCTACTGGTTCATATGGTTTCTTATGAGCTGTATGTCGAGTAGAGCGGCACTGTCGCCACCGCAAGCAGAACGTCGCCACCGCAGACCGCAGGACTGCACCAGAGCCTGTAGTGCCGCCGACCGCAGAGTGACAACACGTATTTTTGCTGTTTTTGTATATATCTTCGTTAGCCATTAGATGATTTTTAATGAGTATTAAATAACTTCCTTCAAATTGTCTATTTTTAAATAGAGACCTAGTCGGTTTCTTTTTTTTTATAATGCAAAAGTAAAAGATCGTCGTCATCTTCTTCTTCCATCAAAAGATATAACATTAGTTCATCGTTGTTCATTGCGTCTGACATCCTACTTATACGACTTTTAATATTATATAATTATATACTATTATATATATCACATACTATTATAAATTCCCATCGTGTAATGCTGTTGTCGCTGTATGCAGTACAGTTCTGCTCGGAATTGGTCTGACCGCAGACGACACTGTCGCTGCAGTTTGCGTTCTGCAGTCTGCAGCCACTTTCGGAATTTAACCTTAAGTGGTTTATTTGCTTAAATTTTTCTCAATATTATTGAGAGTTTCCATAGCATCCATATGTTTCCATAGCATCCATGCTATGGATGCGAGACATGGGTTTTGACAGAAAGCACTAAACGAAGATTAGAGGTTTTCGAGAGAAAAATCCTAAGGAAGATCTTTGGACCCATCACTCAAAATGGGATGTGGAGATCTAGATATAACCATGAACTCTACCAACTGTTCAAAGAAGCACCTATTGCAGAGTTCGCTAGAGTACAAAGGCTTCGATGGGCTGGTCATGTGGTACGGATGGATGCCGACAGATTGCCGAGAAAGGCCTTGGATGGTAAAATGCAGGGCAGAAGACCAAAGGGAAGACCACGTAATAGATGGGAGAACGAAGTCACAGCAGATGCGCACACCTTACTGAACGTCAGGGCTTGGAGACGAGTGGCGCGGGATCGCCTTTGTTGGAGGCAGAAGTTACAGGAGGCCAAGGCTCAATTTGGGCTGTAGCACCATTGGAAAAAGAAGAAGATTATTTAGAGTTTCTTTTATTGTTTCTTCTCATTATTTTTTTAGTATTGTGTCTTGAACAACTACGTTAGCGGAAGGAAATAGCTTCACGCTAGTTAATATTTAAACATAACAGACGCCCTTTAAATAATTTAATTCATTTGCGTAATCATCTAAAGATAATTGTGGAAATAAATAATTTGTCGTTAATTTTTATTGAAGGATAGATCAACTAATACTACAAATAGATTAAGGACATTAAAAATTATCAGTTAAACGTTATCTGAACTGCAGATGTGCTAATTAAAATTTATTATACAAAACTAGAAATATATTTATAATAACTTGATTAATTTAGAATTTTTCTGAAAATCTTCCATAAATTATAAAAAATACAGTACAGGGACTTTTTATAAGCCACATCTTTCAAGTTCCTTATATTTCCATTTGTATTTCTTCTTCTTCTTCTTTCGTTTGATAGCCTCCACCTCTTAGGTACGTGGCCAGCTCATGTATATTATTTTCATTTAAGTTATAGAAGGGAATTCTCCTCACAGAGATTCTGGAAATAACCATATTCCCTTCAACTATTTTGGACAATTTATAGTGTATATTCTAAAATAATTATATATGTCATTAATGATATAGATTTTTCTTGTTCCATCTATTAAGCTATGTAAGGTATATCTGGAATTTGGCATCTTGGACAGGAAATTAGTGATCAAAGGATAGGTTAGGTTTGGTATTTATTTATATTTTACTTACATTTTAATTTGGAAAATATTGATAAACTTACCAATCGTTTTCAAGGTTTTAGCATTGATATTATGGAAAATATTTTGTACTGAAATTGGCGTTGGGCATCCATCTTTAATAGGTTTTTGATATAAATCAAATAGTGGTGTCTTATTGGTAGGACACTCTAGCAAGATGTGTATTATACTTCCTATTTACCCACACTCACAAAAAGGGGAATCAATGCAGTTAATTTTAAATAGATGATCTAGCGCCAAACAATGTCCTGTTCGTAACCTAATAATTGTGGTCAGGTGTCTACGGTCTACAAGGGCAAACTTATGAAACAATGGTTTTATAGAGAATTCGATTTGACATTGTTGGTACCACTTTCCCTTTTGTTTAAAGTGTTTAAGCCAATCAAGTTTAAATTCAGTTATTAGTGTTTGAGTAATAAATAAAAGATAGTCCATTTTATCAATTTTTATGTTAGCTGAAATGTTTAGGGTTCTACCTATATTTGCCAATTGATCTGCCACAATATTCCCTTTTAGTCCTAAGTGGCCTGGAATCCAGGCTATATTAATCTCACGTCCTGCTTCATTTGCCTCAAGTATTAATCTTTTAGTTCAATTTACAATGTGGTTATTTGTTCCCCAACAGGTACTTTGTAATTTTTGGATTGCACTTTTTGCATCAGAGAATATCATTGCTTTTTTAATATTTTTTCCTAAGCAAACTCCTACTGCCTTATTAATGGCAATAATTTCAACAGTGCATATTTGTATGTGCTCATGTAGTCTAGATGCATAGTTATAATTTATTGATGGAATGTGAACTCCAAATCCTACTGCCCTTAAATTGGGTTCTAATGACCCATCTGTAAATATCCAAGTGAATTCTTCATAGATAGTTGAGAATTCATTAAGAAATTGTTGATTATTGAACGGCCCTGCCGGTTAAATAATTAATCTTAAAAAGGATTGGATATCCAATATTGTTTATATTTTTAATATTTGATTTATTTGGCATTAATAAAACTTAGTAACCGAACATTTTTCATTATCAGTACACACCTGAAGCAAGTCGTGTCCTCTTCTTCTTCTTCTTCTTCTGTCTTGATAATAGTTCTTAATTGTCTTCTTTCAAAGGTTGTCTAATTTCACTGTGAACGTAGTGAGGTACAGGGGCTTTTCCGATTTTTTTAAAGGCGTATTTTATTTCTGATGTTAAGATGGGCAAGTCGTTATTTTCGATGTTTGTTTGTTTAACAATATTTATTGTTCTATCGTCTGAGAATAAGTTTTGTATGTATGTTCGCCATTCAACGCTTATTTCTTCTATTGTGGTCAGGACTCTATCATCCATGTTCGCTATTGTGCCACACTGCCTAGCGTTTCTGATCCCACACATTTCTTTAATTTTCTCATGGAGAAGTTTTCACTTCTTTTCGTTACGCCGGTATCCAATCTCACGAACCACACCCTATCTTGAGACAAACGACTGTTTCCTTTCGATGACCCAAAATATGACTAACTTCTCCTCTCTC